CTTTTAGCATAAATATTAGCATGATGCCCTCCTTCTGGCAGTTTGTAGGATGTTCTATGATTTCGATCACTGTAAAACGTACACAGACGCGGCAGCTTATTTTCGAAGAACTGCTGAAATAATTTTCTAAGAAATTGCTCAATTAAAAACGTTAGTAATCTTCGATGGAGAGGGGAACATCTGAAAATATAACGGGACTGTTTTCTGTCTGCGGTAGATTTTTATAGCTATTACCGAGCTGGGAGATGCCGACGACATTATGTTCAGCATGCAATTATTTGTGGCGCAACTGGCGTACATATGCGGGAACAATCTCAGCGGACAATTAGTTTTGGACCGTAGCGCCAAAATCATCAACGATATGTAAGTTCGATTCTCACCATTTTAATGTCTAATTCGTAATATGAAATTTTTGCTTTTATTATTATTATTATTATTATTATTATTATTATTATTATTATTATTATTACGTTCTATGTGTTAGCTTTAATTTTGAACCAGTTCAATTGATAATGCATCACAGTTTAATTAGGAACTCGAAGAATCCATAATGGAAAGAAATAGGAAGTGAAACAATGGCTCTGTTCACCTTGAATATGTACAACTTTATTCGATATTTGTAATATCATCTTCTTGAGCATTATTTTCAATAAATATGGTAATTGTTTAAACCGAGAAACTATTGTATAAAGGGTTTCGTATCACTGAGGATTTCTAATATAGAGAAAATTGAATATTACAAATATTCACCACTATATATTAACCACTACTATAATACTATAATACTATAATATTACTATATATATATTACTATAATATATATATGCTACATATATATAGTATATACTACTACATATACTACTATATATATACTACTATACTACTATACTACTATAATATTATTTTATAATATATTATACTATATAATATATATACTACTATAAGATTAATCACTACAAATGATGAAAATGCTAATTTTTTGGCTGCATAAAGTAGTCTCAGGATACAGAAACGTTCAGGAGACTCTGCTGCATCTATACCATGCAAAGAATGTTTATTTACTATTGGAAATACAAAGGTTTTCACCATAAAATAGAATAGGAAATTCGAATCCTCTTCTCCTGACGATTTAAAAATACCGCCATTTGTGGTAAGTAGCGCTCCATGCGGTGAAATTTGGAAGCTCGCTTGGGGGTCCGTACAGCGCCAATTAGTCCAGTGACAAAACGCTCAAACTGTTAGCCAAAATCGACTGTCGGTACTTTGGCTAACAGTTTGAGCGTTTTGCCACTGGACTAATTGGCGCTGTACGGACCCCCAAGGCGAGCTTCGAGACTTCACCGCAAGGAGCGCCACTTGTCACAGGTGGCGGTACTTTTAAATTATCAAGAGGACGTTCGAAGACAGCAGAAAAATCGTGCCAGAATTTGCATTGCTCCTTATGGCAGAAGCGGCATGAATCATTTGCTCGAATATTCGATATTGAAACATAAAACATAAATCGTTTATAACTAATTATATATTATTATAATTATATTATAAATATAATCTAAATATAATATATTAATTAATATAATATAATTAATTGTATCTTTGCTAGAAATCTCGTTTGAGATGTTCAATCCTAGAAGTTTATATATTATGCCTGTGATGTCGTAAAACTAGAGCACTTGAAAATGATTGAAATGTGAATTGCACATTTTATCTTTTAACAAAAGCCGTGAGGATTCTTTAATTATTAGATGAAGATTAATATAATAATGTTAAATAGATACAATTCGCCATGGTACCGTTTATCACCAAAGCTCCAAAAGATGATACTGTTCATACTGATGAAATCGCAGACTCTACTCAAGTTTAATTTTGTCGGATTATTTACACCATGCTTTGAAGGTTTCTCGACGGTAACTAACTTTCCATTTTATTAAGCTTCTATCCTATTAAGCCATCGATGACGCAGTCTAGGTCCATTTTAACCCAGTTCTTCCAAGCTTCTGCTATTAAACTTCCAAAAGTCGACTTTTGAATGTCTCAATGTTATAAACATTTTAAAAACCATTTTATCATATTTTGAATGTTTCAGATGATGAGCACAGCTTTTTCGTATTTTACCCTTCTTTGTTCAGTCCATTAGGACCTTCTGAGTCTTCAACAAATGTTGTCACCATTCATTGTTTTTTGAACAATCAGAAATAATAAAGGATTTGGCTAGAGAATAGGTATAAGGATTAATTGTCAACCATTAAGTGTTAAAAGATACAAAAAATTTTATTTATTAATATCACAATAATATTCTGCGATTGCAGAATATTGTTCAATTAACAGAAAATATTAATGAAACATACCGGAAGATATGGAAATGTAAAAACAATTTCAATCATTATATAAATACAGTATTATATCGAAAAATGCAATGCGCGATTCAAATATCCATGATCTGTATATTACATGTCNACGGACCCCCAAGGCGAGCTTCGAGACTTCACCGCAAGGAGCGCCACTTGTCACAGGTGGCGGTACTTTTAAATTATCAAGAGGACGTTCGAAGACAGCAGAAAAATCGTGCCAGAATTTGCATTGCTCCTTATGGCAGAAGCGGCATGAATCATTTGCTCGAATATTCGATATTGAAACATAAAACATAAATCGTTTATAACTAATTATATATTATTATAATTATATTATAAATATAATCTAAATATAATATATTAATTAATATAATATAATTAATTGTATCTTTGCTAGAAATCTCGTTTGAGATGTTCAATCCTAGAAGTTTATATATTATGCCTGTGATGTCGTAAAACTAGAGCACTTGAAAATGATTGAAATGTGAATTGCACATTTTATCTTTTAACAAAAGCCGTGAGGATTCTTTAATTATTAGATGAAGATTAATATAATAATGTTAAATAGATACAATTCGCCATGGTACCGTTTATCACCAAAGCTCCAAAAGATGATACTGTTCATACTGATGAAATCGCAGACTCTACTCAAGTTTAATTTTGTCGGATTATTTACACCATGCTTTGAAGGTTTCTCGACGGTAACTAACTTTCCATTTTATTAAGCTTCTATCCTATTAAGCCATCGATGACGCAGTCTAGGTCCATTTTAACCCAGTTCTTCCAAGCTTCTGCTATTAAACTTCCAAAAGTCGACTTTTGAATGTCTCAATGTTATAAACATTTTAAAAACCATTTTATCATATTTTGAATGTTTCAGATGATGAGCACAGCTTTTTCGTATTTTACCCTTCTTTGTTCAGTCCATTAGGACCTTCTGAGTCTTCAACAAATGTTGTCACCATTCATTGTTTTTTGAACAATCAGAAATAATAAAGGATTTGGCTAGAGAATAGGTATAAGGATTAATTGTCAACCATTAAGTGTTAAAAGATACAAAAAATTTTATTTATTAATATCACAATAATATTCTGCGATTGCAGAATATTGTTCAATTAACAGAAAATATTAATGAAACATACCGGAAGATATGGAAATGTAAAAACAATTTCAATCATTATATAAATACAGTATTATATCGAAAAATGCAATGCGCGATTCAAATATCCATGATCTGTATATTACATGTCTCATATTGTTATTGCAAATAAACGTATAAATTATATAAACTCTAAAAATTAGGTACGTTGTTATTCCTATATCTTTTCCTTCGGTTTAGTCCAGTTTTCGTTAAAAACAGTAATCATAAGCGTGATTGTTTGAATCAGAACAAATCCATTCTGATAAAAAGAATACTTATTACATGATCAACAGGTATCAACAGCGAAACGGATTGTAGAGAATGCTAATGGCATATGTACGCGTCTTACGAATACTTAACCCTCGCAGTACCGTCGGTTGGGCTTTCACGCGAAACCCCATGATTAGGTCCTTATGTATGCAAACATTTTGAAAAAAGATGTCACTGTCATCATTATTAATATTGCTATTATCGTTACTATCATCTTACCGTTTTTTTTTTTTTAAACAAACGGCAGATGGCGTCAAGTGTCAAACAATCAAGTCAACTGTGGGTCCGAAGAAACCCGGGCATGGTACGGCGAGGGTTAATAGTTACATAATGCATACAAATTAATAGAGAATATTTAATTCTCCGGTATTGGTTGCATAAACCAATCCCTGTCCAGGTTGTGGCATCCATCTGATACAATTTAAACTTGAATCATTAGGAACTTCCTTATCACTTCGTAACAATTTTCGAATAATCACCATACTCTCTCTCCTCTCGTTTCTGTTAAGAACAGTTGCCTTCGATCTGCTTAAATTATATTCCATTTCACTCGGTTCACTATTGTGTCTTAATCGACAAATCAAAGCCATAGGACTGCGGATCTGAGGCAGTTTTGACGGGTGGCTACTTGTTGCGAGACCCACTAAAAGATGTTGCTGTGTTGGAGAAATTGAAAGAGAAACTGCGGACTCGTATATTACTGTCGAACAAATTATTTCTCCCAACCTTTCCCATTCCAAACTGTAAACTGCTAAAAGAATGATTTTGCACATTAGACAAAATTTAAACAAAGTAAAGAATGAATTTAAATAAGCGTTATTCAATATAGATTATTTACCTAAGGTAGTTGCCCAGCCCAATCCACCCGACGGAAACATAGCTGTTAATAATTTTCCATCTGAAGAAATATCTATGGTGGCGTCATTGCGAATGTTGCAATTTCGGACAACAACATTCTTCTCATCTGAAATAAATAAACATAAAAAGATCAATACAATTGTAATTTATTTCATGTAATACAAGATACATACAATTAGTAATATCAGGTGTTTCTCCGTTAGAAAAGTCCCACGCTTGTACGCGATAAGTTTCAACTTCAAGGGCATTTTCTGATATAGATACATCTAAAAGTATTTCATCGTTCATAGAAACATTTGTTCAATAATTTAATTCTATACTTAATTATATACAATTACCTTCATTATCCTCGACGTTTCTCGATCTAGAATGGTCATCAGGAGGACGATTCAATATGAATCTATCGAGATTATTTATATCACTTTCATTACCTGATTCATTATCAACATTTCTGTCCTGTGCGGAAGAATTTGATCGAAAGTGTTCCATTCTTGCTATTTTCCTAATACATCTTCTGACTGAAACTAACCAGCTGAAACCAAAAATATTTCTTGTAAATATTTCTTGTTTCATAATCGCTTCTATATCAATAAAAATCATACCCATACTCCTTATGTGTAAAATCGAGGAATTTTTCTGGAATGTTTCTAATACCTGTGACCAGCATTCTCCCAGTATAATCAAATTTAACATATCTGAGACAAACGATATATGATCAAGTAATTATCAGTGGCTACAAAATAATATTATATAAAATGCATCTACATATGTAAAGCTCTGACAATGATTTTATAAAAGGAAAAAACGAAAATTCATTCAGTAAGTTATAATGTAAGTGTAATGCAGCTCACCTTACTTTTTGACCATCGGCTCTAGTGCTTGTCATAGTATAAGGTTCACGTACACTCCAATCCCAAAAATAGATTTCATTACAGGTAGCGATAACAAGTAACCTTTGAGTTGGGTGAAAAGCAAGAGAAGCTATTACTGTCTCAAGTTCAGTATCCCAAGTTTTACAACCATCCTATTTAATGAAGTATATCGTAAACTATATTGCTAAAATTATTTATAAATATAGATTTACTTCTATCACAAAAATGAGTTTTTCAAATGGAAGGTGTAATAGTAACTGATTTTTCTTTGTTACACACATTGAAATGCAGCTATATCATCAAAATCTTTTTATATTAAAATTTCAACTTGAACAATACTAACAGTTAAATCCCAAACGCGAACTTGACCACCTAAACAACCAGAAGCTAAAATTTTATTGGATAAAGGATGAAATGAAATGCTCCACGGAGTGCGTGGATGACCAACAAGTGTTTTAATATTCTTCCCAGTTGTAACTTCGCTGATATAGATATTATGGTCTCCATGTGTCGATGCCATTTTAGTTCTAAAATTAAGTTTAACATGTTCATCCAAACCGTTATTTTACAATATTTCCAGTTATATATAAAACTGATTATGATTCTCACCCATCAGGACTAAAAACCATTAGAAATGTTGTCCTAGGAACACCAGGTAGGTCACATAACTATACAAAATTAGTGACATCAAAATTATTAACTTTTATGTCTTATTATTCATAAATTGTAAATATATATTTTGATTTCTAGCAACAGTAGAAAAAAGAAAATAATGAACATATTTGAGATTAGAGAATACATACGTTCATGTCAATAATAAAAGATATTTTATGAAACTTACCAACTCTCTGTGATCTTTTAAAACAAGATTTTTTTCAGCTATAAATTTTAAGTCTGCACTAGGTCTATGCACTGTACAAAATCCAACATCTCTGAGCATTAAATAATGCAAAACATTCTGCGATTCTCTGCAATGAAGCATCTTCCATTTTCTCTTAACATTCTCCATTGACCAAGATTATCCTGTAATATTTATAGTTGTTATATATCTTTTTTGTTCATTATTTAATGTCTCAACAATAACATCAAAGCCCACATGTTAATAAATTTTATAAATGTTCAGGAGGTTTTCTCAGTTTTGTTTCAATTTATTAAATTGTTTGGAGATTTTGAATCTCCCATATGACTCATCTAATTTCATATGCTATAGAATGACATTGCGTATTGTATTATATCATGTAGTTTTGGAATATAAGCGACAATCATCTATCATTCTTAAAATGAAAGCAATAGTGTGTCAATGATTTTAACTTTTCAACAATGATGTAACACAAACAACTGTTGACAACACATGTAATTAGGTTCCAAAAATTCATTTAAATATAGGTTTAAAAACATTCCATCAAGATCAAACTGTTAACCAAATTTGATTAATCATTTTAATAGTTAATTCATGTATGCTATAAAAAATATAGATTTGCGTACACATAACTATACTTTATATATTTTTAAAACAAATCTAATAAATACTATTCATTTATAATAAGTCTATACTCTCTTTTTTATCATTATGCTTGTGTGTTTACTAAACGTTTACATTATTTCTTAAATATTGAAACTTGTCCGAAATAATTAGTTCTCAAGATCAAAGAAACTTACTATATTTCGTTGTTTAAAAGTCGAATACCGGCTAAAAGTCAACAATTATGTACAACTAACATTACCTGTGGCTGTTTTGGAGCGAAATTTTCGACGTGTCAAAATGAATTTCCGGGGTCGAATAGGCCGGCTGCGAAAGCGGTTAATGAAAAAATTTGATTTCCAAATCCACGTTACCATTTGTCACTGGGACAACACCAAACATTTTCGTCGGATTGACATTAAACATACTAAATCGGAAAGACAATACTGTGTATCTGTCGATACACAGAGATTACCGAGGTTGCGAAGATTTGCAGATGTTTGTAAATCTCGGAAACGATAACAATTGGCCATATAAGGCGAAGCTTAGATAAATGCCCAAAAAACCGGACCCAAGGCGGGCATTACAAATGTAGAAGTATCGATTCTATTTACAGATGCCGAGATTGTAAGATCTGTACAGACATTGCAATTGCAAGCAATGCATTTTTCTGTCTACGGCTCTGATTCTGATTTACATACCAACAGCAACACCAACACTATAGAAAACATAGTACGATAGCGGACTCTACTTAAACGGAACGGTCAGCTAGTGAACTACATCAGACTGCAACAGAGAAAGTGCATGTCTGCTAAGGCGACCAAATTTCAAAGTGTTGTTATCTTTAAAAGTACAATACATTTAAAAACTTAGCAACGAATGATTACCGTCGTTTTATACGACAAATAGCAGAAAATAATAATAACGTTATTATGTGTAATGTGTTAAATGAATTTGAATTTTCGCTGATGGCTAGTAGCAAAATGGCGGCGCCGCAGGATTCGGGATCTGAATAAACTGCCACTTCTGGCAAGAAATTAATTAATAATTCCTCGCCCGTTAATAATTCATGAATATCAGCAATTGGAAATTATAGAATACACTTTCGGTAACATTTATACGTACTTCAGTTATTAATAATTAAGAAACGGGAATTTCTTCTTCAACGAACTTAAAACATAAAGATGAAGAATTAAAAAGAAGAAAAACTTTTAACATGACGCTTAACTATAATTTTATTATCTTTTCATGTCTACGTTCAAAATAGTATTTCTTTATTTTTACATCATAAAGTTAAATTATTTCATCAATAGAGTCTCCTAAACTTTTCTTTTAATGTACAATTACAACATGCATACTCTTTATTTGAAATATAATTAAACTCTTCTGTTATCGTCACACAGTCGAAACATATTTCCTATAATAAATCATTTAATGATCCAAAATACGTAGATTGCCGGAAACAATTTTGTTTTCTAAAATCGTGCCCGATGGAAGATCTATGCGTTCCCCGTGATTCGCGATGATGATGACTGTTCCTTTTAAGGTCACGCCTTTGCCAAAAGTGACGTCACCTGACACTGTTAAATGATCCAACTCGAGCAGATCTGGTATAGTTGGAAATCTGGTAAGAAACTCTTTGACCTGAAAAAAAATGTTCAGTATTAATCATTCGGCACGACTTGTTTAAGTGGGGTTTTAAAACATTCTGTAAAATATGAGAAAAATAATAACCTTGGAGAAATGATTATCGCCTAATTTGATAAGGGGTGTTGTTGGGAACATTCGTTGCGGACTCATTACTAAGGAACCATTGCGGAGAGTGTACAAATTACTCATAACTAGCATTAAATCTGAGGTCTTTTTTACTGGCAAAAATCTGCTACGTGGCACGTTTATACCTATAATGCAGTTACAAAATTACATGATAACGTAAATACAAATGGCAAGCTCTACGAAGAGTGTCGACCACGTTCCTTACCAATGCTTCCTTCAAATGATTTCATTGCGGATCCCACAGCTGTCTCTAGTTGGATGATATTCATACCATTGCCGAAGGTTTTATTGTTAACGATAATTTCCATGTTCAGAGAATTTGAGTTAACAACCCTTTCGATGGCTGCAAAATCAATTAATGCAAGCAGCAAATGTACAGAGTAGCATCACAACTTGGAATATCCAGTATTATAAAAAGAGAAACAGTAATACGTACCACTAAGCTTGATCCACAAATTATTTGTATTAAAGAACTTGAAGGTTTTTACCGATTTGAAGTCGTCCACGTGATCTTTTGGAACTTGTGCAATTTCAAGAAGACGAAGCTTGTCTTCATATTTAATCAATGTTCCGCCCTAAATTTATCGAACGATGCCCATAAAAATCTGTTCCGATTCAAAAATTAAACATGTTGTTACCTTGACATCAGCGCGAGTTTTATCAGTAACTTCCATAACAAATTCTAGGGGGGATGGTTCATTCTTGGCCAACAACATCTTCAAAATTTTAAAATCTATGGTCGCACCAAGATTATCAATATTTGAAATGAAACAATACTCGCGTCCCTACAAAGACAGCCATTATTGAGATTTGTTGCATCAGTACAAGAAGTTTGAAAGAAACATACTTCTTTCAAGAATTTTTTCAATAAACCTGAATTCCTAAAGCTCTCATAGAAATCTCCATGGCCAGGAGGGTACCATCTGTAAATGAAATATGTATCTTAATATTTAAAATCATGAACATAGCTGTAACGAATCTATGTTGCTATACTTACGCCTCAATATCATCTGGTACATCACAATGCTTAGCAATAGGTAGGAGAGAATCTCTATTGATACGAGGGTAGCAGCTTTGATTGAAGGTGTAGATATCAACATCAATCCCTTTGTATTTCCTGATAATTCGTTGTGTGTCATCGTCGGTGTTGAAAGAGTCCATCAATATGAGGGGTACGTTGGCATTATAAGTTTTGTTCAAATACTGTTCGCAAACAATGGTTTAATTATTCACTTTTTACTTTTGTCGCAATTTATATTATCATTTAAATCGAGTTCAAATTGTACTATTATACAAAACTTATGTAGATTACCTCAATCTGCTGAACCGTAAGGTCCAAAAATGTGAGTCCATTTCGAACAGCTATCACAGACTTCGGTCCATGACATCCCATGCTAGTTCCAAGCCCACCGTTCAATCTGATAACAACTAGCTTGTTTAAAAGGGATTTCACCTCTTCTCCTTCTGGGATTGGCAAAGTATTGTAGTCTCTGATCTAGTAACATAAAAATGTTGTTTTGAGCAGCCAGTTTTCTCAGAACAGAAAGAACAATAACTGTAATTGCTTCGAATCGATTAAAAGTTGTATTATTTTTGATCTAGAGATAGAAAAATGTTACTTCACGACTGATTGAAGTTTTAAACACGGTTTCATTCTGATTAGGAAAAATAAGGGTCCTTACAGCATCGTCTGGCAGTTTCTGTATGCGGTCCCATTCTAGTGAGGGTCCTTCCTCTTGCAGGAACCGTTCGAATAAGTTAGTGAAGCCGTCGAACTGTCTCTGGAACTCGTTCTGGAGGTCACTTGTAGGGGCAGTACCTTGGAGCTTCTCCAATTCCCTCTGGAGCTCTATCAGGGCATCCCTCTTGGTTCTCTCGCGAAATGCCTGTGTATCTGAGGGACTGCGTTGATGACCACGTGCCTGTCGTTCACGAGGGATAATGGAAAAATGTAAAACGATAAATACCTTTCGCCTTGCAGCCCAACGTCCCACCATTGCCGGTGGTAAATTTCTCGGAATTGAGCATCGTTTAATTCGCTTTTCTCTTTCGGTCTCTAATGGAACAGACACGGTTCAGAATTTTCGAGCGAAAATCTCGGATCGTCGGACGGTTTTGATAACGGAGAGACTGTTCGCGAAATCACGATAACGAACGGTAGCAATTAGGGGTCCCCTTGTCGGTCACGGAAGTCAATTCTTCCAAATTCTTTTGTTTTAATTTTGTTGTTTTTGCATTTAAAGGAGCGTTTTTAAGGGAATTCGCAATTTTCCTACGCGACAAGGTGATATTTATTAATGGCAGACTATTTTACTTTCGAGAAAATAATGACACCACTATTGCCTCAGATATTCAATGGTTATCGATAATTTTATATTGACATTGTTAATCTTGGTAGAGATCAGCTGTTCAAGTAACGGGCGTGAAAATCGACAAGAAACGACATTTACGTTTCTAAACACTTTTTTTCAGAAATCTTTTTCTTCATGCTGCTCGCAAAAGATAAGTACAGTAGCCCGATGTTATTTTTATCATCCACGTTTTATATTAGTGCGATCAAAGCTTTTCTTGTGGCACAATGATTCTAATTACGCGGCGACTTTTAATTAAATTGTTTGGAATGCAGCAAGACGAACACTATTACAATTAATTTGTCCGATGCAGCATTCTGCGTAGCCTACCCACTGAACTGACGTAACGCGATATTACATTATTAACCCGGGAATTTGTTTAAACAATGATCAGAACCAAACCGAAAATTTTCGAACTTTCGCAGATATTTTCAAATCTACCTCAGAAACCAAATATTCTAGACAAAATCTAATTACCCGAAATTAAAGAGTGAATCTTCACGAACTAGAAACGACATTGGAAAAAATTCAAAACGGCGCTCGATTTTCAAAATACAAACGAAATAATCGTGCGGGGCGCGCAACGCTCGGAGTGGTACCCCACGTTTAAACAATTATTTAAACATGTTTCCGTGCGAATACCATAACATCGTGCTATGTCATCTTATTCGATAGAGTCCGAAGAATATTACTATGAAAATGAAAACCGAATCACTATAGCCGCGAATGCACAAAACGCGTTCGAAAGTGAAAATTGTATGCTCTGCTTCGGAATCGATTTCCTCGGTGACCGGATTATAGAATTAAGAAAAATTTACAGATTTCGATTCGGAGTGCGACAGACGTGTATTGAACAGTGCCAGCCGTTGACGATCTACCATTTTCCTGGGCATTATCGCCAAAGGCACTGTCAATCACCCGCGTCTATCTTCGAGACGACGACGCGACGCTGCCGAAGAGTTTCCGAATTTTCCACATGGCTTCAGATTAGGTGGCGAAGAAATTTTCTCCCCCTGCCTTCATCCGCGGTGATAATTGTGGATGGAGAAGCGGAGCATAATTTGTGGATGGAGAAATACGGTACAGATAACTTATCGTCATCGCGCATGCAGCGAATGCCAGTTACGCAAAAACAAAAAGAAAGAAACGAAAAAATAAGTAAATAAAATAGTTGGCATACCAGCTTGAAAACATCTACGATTCTGCGGACTCTTCCAAACAAGATCATATATTTTTCTACGTCGTAGCGAATATTAAAACTTGTTTAAACATAATTTGAACGAGAAAGGAAACGAAGATCAACATTCAAGAAGAAAGATGGAATTCGAGCATTTCAGAATTTTTCGCGCTCCGATCTTGAGAGCTACGCGAACGATGTCGACGTAGGACGATTCTGCGAACTCTCCCAAATACAACGGTATATTTTTTGATAACATTCTGGACATTTAAGCACGTTTAAACAATGTTCGAAGCCGGCGAGACAGCACTAATGCAACGATCTACTCGAACATTTTTCGGAACCGTTTTATTTGTCAATCGAAAGCGAAATCGACGATCCAGCTTCTTTTTATCGCTTTTAATAAAACGAAAATGTGTACTTTCTCACGTGGTATATTTACATTTTACATCCAAGTCGAAATTTTAGAAGAAAAATTGAAAAATGTCCGAGGAAATTGCATTAAAGAAGCTTCGCTCTCTTCGAACGCTATTTAAACATATATTTAAATGCTCCTCGTACTGTTACGAGCAAAATATATCACTGTACTTAGGCGAGTTCGGAGAATCGTTGTACACAAGAAAAAAAAATGCTGAAGCCGATAAATTTGTTAGACAACGTGATTCAACCGTCTGTTAGGAAAAGTCGAATTTAATTGGAACGTGTTTAACCCTGAGTCGAAACGGGCGCCGTTATACGAGGGCTAATCTAGTGCAAGCGTAATCGACGTGATCGGAAAGTTTGCCCGGCATTTGACAGAAAGAATGAAAATGATAGCAAAAGCGTGCAAATCATTCTGACGTTCGCTTCCTTAATCCGCGGCGACAGATCGCTTTCGCGCGTCAGATAACGCATGACGATTAGGCCTCTATAAAGAGGTTACATCGATGACGACAGATCAGAGAATTATCTGGCATTACGAAATGTTCGCACGAACCACGCTCGGCGATCCCCGACAGCCAATAAATTTATTTCACCAATAAAGACGTAAATTGCTATTTGTTTGCTCGAGATAGTAGCTCATTGAATTCGCGATTAAAAACTATAATTCCGTTTCGTTCGATCGTGAAGCACGTTCACTGCGTTTTTTTTGTAATGAAAATAATGTATAAAATTATCGTTCAATGAAACTGCGCTCGAAAGATAAAATGCTTAATTAGAGTATGCGTCGGTGTAATTATTAAAACAGGCAAGTTTCGGATCGAAGAAATCGAATTTATGCGACCTAAATTAATCGTAAAACCAAGGTTCGAGTTCGCGCAAACGTTCATGGACTTCGGAGAATTTTCGAATTGACTCGTGCAAGTCACGGTAATTTAACAGTTGTTGCACAATAAATGAACAAATTAATTCGTACATTTAGAAAAACGTTCGAAAGTACGGTAAACTTTCGAACGAACGTGGATCGACTTCAACAAACGTTTCAGTTGATTCGGATTAGTCGAATCCATTTTGCAGTCGCGATGTAATAAATAAATAAGTTAATTCGGACGGTTGAATTCAAGCGAGAATGTACAGTAAAACTTTCGAACGATAAACAACTTCAGATTATTTGTCAATCGTTTGTCTTTTTATCGAATCGACGGATTGTAACGATAAGTCTCCATTTCAAATTAATTATAACAATGCAGTTACAACAAATTCTTCCTAATTGACCCTCAGATTGTGCACCGAAATGGACAATTTGGGGAGAGGAGATACGATTGTTCGAGTCTTGCACCTCGTTTTTATAATCGTTGACAATCGGCAACTGTAAAAATTAGCCGCAAGGCTCGGATAATCGTATCTCCTCTCCCAAAAGTGTCCATTTCTGTGCGCAATCTCATCGCGAATCAGGGAGAATTTACTATATCCCAAAATAATGTTTTGCTACATGTTTGTAAATTATGTTTATTCGTTGTGCAGCAGTTTGTATGCGAATGCAAATAGGACTCGCAGTGATCTATTAGATTTTCGCACCATCCTTTCATCTTTCTAAACGCGATTCTCATGAAATGACGCTGGCACTCAGCGTATTCAACGGATCATCGTTAATAATGACCATGACCGGCACGTTTATATGCACCCAACAATATTAGTTTGTTACACACGTGCACTCGGCGCAACGTGACGCAACGCACGCGGCTCCGTTCGCAAATTATTTATGATAAAAGTTAATCTAGATCCAAACTGCGGATTCTGCGACGAGAACGAGCGCAACGAGCATGTTTGCAGAAGCTCGAAAAACAATTCGAAACGGTGCTGCATGTTTTCGAATTTATCGAAGTTAAGAGAAAGAAAAAGAGGAAGAAATCAATTTCAAATTTTTCCATTTGTAAAAACAAACGTATATCGCGAAACTTCGGGAAACATTTTTAAAATCGGTGCTAAATTATCAACGTTAGTGTAGAAAAGAAATTTCTAATTAATTGCGTACTTAATTGTAATTAATTGCGTAGTTTTTGAAAATTAATTGCTTCGATTTCGCGATGGTCACATGATCGTGTAATTCTGTATCGATGCAAAATTTATGTCAATGTCAATTCATGCCTGTATCCCGTGTCAATTTATTTGTGCACGCGTTTCCCAGCAATTGGTGCAATTGTTGGTGCAATTGTTGATGCATTTGACGTAAACGTTGCTATTTTCTTTTCGAAAATTAATAACAGCATTTTCATCTGCATTATTCATAAACCATTGATTTTTAAATCGTCTATGCTTCGTACGACTCGTTTCGAGCGAACTCATAATTTTGTTAACGTTATTAAAAATATCAATTTCTGATTGCCAATAAAACCAGAGAAGTTGAAAACTATAAAAATGATAAAATCGAAAATAATCGACGATCCGCAGTCTTTTCGTGAGAATTGAATAAGTACNCTCGAGATAGTAGCTCATTGAATTCGCGATTAAAAACTATAATTCCGTTTCGTTCGATCGTGAAGCACGTTCACTGCGTTTTTTTTGTAATGAAAATAATGTATAAAATTATCGTTCAATGAAACTGCGCTCGAAAGATAAAATGCTTAATTAGAGTATGCGTCGGTGTAATTATTAAAACAGGCAAGTTTCGGATCGAAGAAATCGAATTTATGCGACCTAAATTAATCGTAAAACCAAGGTTCGAGTTCGCGCAAACGTTCATGGACTTCGGAGAATTTTCGAATTGACTCGTGCAAGTCACGGTAATTTAACAGTTGTTGCACAATAAATGAACAAATTAATTCGTACATTTAGAAAAACGTTCGAAAGTACGGTAAACTTTCGAACGAACGTGGATCGACTTCAACAAACGTTTCAGTTGATTCGGATTAGTCGAATCCATTTTGCAGTCGCGATGTAATAAATAAATAAGTTAATTCGGACGGTTGAATTC